TAAGAATGAACACCATGAATGAGCCGGCCAACCCGCCAGCAAGTAAAGAAAACCCAAAAAACAAAATCACCCTTGCTGCCCAGGCGTGTGTGTTGCCATCACCCAAAAACGAGTTTTGACCGTCAGTGAACAAATTAGACTTTTCAATCGAGTTGACAATGATCATACCCAACGTGGAACAAATAAATGGAATCCAATCAACGAATGTGATATGAACAACACTGGCATTGACCGTCTTGGAGTACACAGCAGCGTCTACCATTGACCAAAAGCCAATTGCAAACAAAGCGCCTGAAAGGTACACTCCGGCCGACCGGAGCTTCTGGGATTTCGGAAGACGAAGTATGGAGGCGTCGAATCTAAAGAGGTTTCTGCGTTGATCCATATTGTGGAAGAATGATGATATGGTCAGTAGGCTGGTTTATCGGTATCCGGGGCGCACCAGAGGTACAGGTTCGGCTGCAAACTGGCACTATTTCGTTAAAGGGTTGATGGTGAAGGGTATTCTATTAATCTTTAATTGTTTTCATTGACTGGAGATCTATGAGTTATTTGGATTTCGATGAATGGCATAAATTTTGTTGTTGTGTAATCCTAACGAGAATTGAGCAAGGTGAAACTGGCAACCCATAAGCTCGCAGGACGTCCTGTTATAGGAATAGGTGAACAACGGCCTACGGTTATTATTATATTCAAGACACCCAAAGTTTGACGAAGTAGCTTCTAGTTTGATTGAATGAAAAGCGGCGCCACTGCCATACAACCTACGACAACTTCGGTTCATTAGTTATATTAGTATATGGTTCATGCCACACGGATCAGGCCGCCTCTTCCTCTTGTTCAAGTCTTTCTTGCTCCGACTCCAGCCTCACTCCCTCCTGCTCTTCGCCATTCAATTCATCTTGTGAAAGCTCTGACTCAGGAGAGGAAGGCCCGGAGGGTGTTTCATGGTGCCCATTGCCATTAAGGCGCAAGTATTGTGGTTCGAGATCGTACACATGCACATCACCTTGGAGGGAACAAGTTACGAGTTCGCTACCATTCTCGTTGGAGTCAAGACCGAGAATCGTCGAACCAGGTTGTAGTTGATAAACGATGCATTTGCTTTGAACACTCCAGAATAGAACACCAGAGTTGTCGCTGCCCGACGCAACGAGAGGTTCTTCGGTAGCAGTGATAAATGCTGTGCTGCAGTTGTATTTTTCGCAGATTGTTGCCAGTGTATCATTAGACGTGTAGGTCTTGACAACTTTATTGTTCATGTAGTCCCATAGTCTGATCTTGCCGTCCAAACTGGTACTAAGAATGTACTTGCCATTCGGCGTTATTTGCACGTTGGAAATGGGAAAATTCACCACATCATTGGTGGAGGCAGTGGCAGTACCGTGGGAGGAACTATTGTACACTAGTGTCTTGAGACACTGACCAGATTCGAGGTCAAAGAGACGCATAAGACCATCATATGAGGCACTGATGATAATTGTATCATCTGGAGTTAGACAGACTGAGCTAACTGGGTCCGAGTGAGCGGCAAGCGTCTTGAGACTTCTGCCTGTAGTAAGGTCCCAGATGACCACCGTCTCGTCAGCGGCTCCACTGACGAGTAGGTTTCCCTTTGAATTGAAGCACAATGCAGAAACGTGATATGTGTGCTTCTTCAATATACGGATGCAAGCTGCTTTAGCGATGGACCAGATTCTCACCGTCAAGTCGTCCGAGCAAGACGCAAGGATGCTGCTATCTATTGGGGAAAATGCGATATCAGAAACACCCTTTATATGACCCAGTAATGTCGTTTTGTGAGTGCCATTGGTATAGTCATAAATGTGTATAAGACCCGTCGAAGTGCATGTCGCTAGTAGTTTCTTGTCTGGGGATATCTTGACAGCGTTGACCAGCTCCAGCTCCTTTGCTGGGACGATGTATCGCTGTTTGTATAGACCTTCCCATTGGCTAGTACCATTTTCGACCCTGGCCTTTTTATCTAGGTGCTCCCCGTTCTCTATCATGATGAAAACTTGACTTGTATCAATCGCGCTGATATAGTCGCGGTGCGATTTTTGTACGCTTAATCGTTTTTCATTTTATCGAGCCACGACTCGAGTAGACTCTTTTCGATTTCATCGAGAGTGCTGCTGGTTTTCTTGCCTCTGAGTGTCACAGGCTCAGCTGGAATTGTCTCGTGCACTGCAGAAGGAAGTATCTGCTTTTGTAGTTGAAGTCGAGTGGTGTTCTCGGGTTGTGGCTTGACAAGCTCCTTGACAAGGTACCTGAGGTACTGGGCAATCAAAATCCTACTTTGTGATGCGTCCGAGTCTTCGTTCACCCTCGCAGGCACGAAAAGCCTGATCAAGCTGTCATTGAGTTCGATAAGCTGATCATACTGTTCTCTTGGCAACAGGTTTCTCAGCTCGATCTTATGGAAAACTCGGTTCAAGATCCTGATGAACTCCGAGGAAAGATTTTTGGTGTTAATCTCTTGTTTGTTGGAAGGAGCAGGTGAAGGGGTAGTCTTATTGCTAGCACTGGCACGCTCGTCTGGGACGAGCTTCGTAGAATCCTTGACAGAGCTAAGGTCAAATTCGACTCTGTTCTCCTTATTTTCTGCATCTCCTACGCCTCCGTTAAGCCACCGTTGCTGATTCATTTGGATTTCGGTGGGTGCGTAGTATCGTCTGGTCTGTGTAATGTGGTGTTCCTGGTCCCAAAGATGCTTTTTCGTGATCAACTTGCGAAGATCTCTCCGTCTCTGCTCCTCTGATATCTCATCTGCCTTTTGTATGAATTTGTGGCGTAGAAGACGTCTAGCAGACCATCTTTCCAGTGGCTGCAAAACGAAGCAGCGATGGAAAAAGTCCAACATTTCATGCGACCAGCTCTTGCTCAGCTCCGTTTGAATGAGCTCCCAGAAGTCTCCGTCATTTCTACACAGAGATATTTGTCGAAGTGCCTTCATGGGCGCAAAGTGTTCTTGGAGAGGCGGCTTCCCGTTACGTAGCTCAAAAACACAGCATCCCAACGACCAAATGTCGGCCTTGTAGCTATGACCGCCTGTGTTGTTCAAAATAACCTCAGGCGCCATCCAATACGGGGTTCCCACCGTAGTATTTCTTCTCGAAAAGTTGGAAGATAGCTGCGTCGACACACCAAAGTCAGTGAGCTTAACCTCTCCATCATGCCCCAACAAGATATTATGGGACTTTAAGTCTCGGTGAATTTTGCCTTGGTCATGCAAATATGCAAGGGCTATAAGAACCTCCTTAGCCATGGCAGCGACAAGTCTCTCATCGGTTATAGGTCCTGCCTTCAACAAGTCAAATAAGCTTCCTCCACTCACATACTCCATGATCACCCATAACTTGTAATTCTTGACAAACGAGCCAAGGTATCGGGTGATTTGTGGGATTCGACATTCAGACAAGATGGTTATCTCTCTGTTTACCTCGAATAGGTCTGCCAGTTCGCTCTCTAGGTCTATCTGTTTGATGGCAACTTCCTTGCCTATACTCTTCAAGACACCACGATACACGACACCAAATCCACCCCTCCCCACTTCCTCACAAACGTCTAGCTCGTCGGAGCTATATATTCTCTCCATTGGGGTGATGGTTGTAGACTTGAGTATCTAGTAATGCGAAGGTAAATAGACGCACGTCAATATCGCACTAGATAAGAATACCACTAGCAACACCATCACGAACAACTAAACTATGCTCAGCTTTGGAGCATGTGGCAGGATCCGTATGCTACTGCTACCCCGGTTTCTGGTTCGACATTTTGCCTCAACTCCCAGACGACCTGAGGATGTCTTCAATGACGTCTTCATCACCAATACGTTACGAACGAATAAGCTGGAGAACGAGTTCGTCAAATGCACGATCTACGATAGCAAGGGCAACATGGTCTGTCACGGCAAGAACATAAGGAAGGCCAAATTTATGCGTGATTACGGCCTTCTTTCAAGAGATCTACGAAAGGTTATCAGGTCTCATACTCCAGGAGCAAGAACGGCTGGAATGAAGGCAAATGTGGAGTTTGTGCCCCTGCTTGTCACCAGAGATGGCAGTATCTTGTTAAATTTATTGAACATTCGAGCCTTGATTCGCCACGACACCTTGGTTGTGTTTGATGCTCCTACTACCACCTTCTCGCCCTCATCGAGGTTTCATGAATCGCATTCCCACGGCGTGTTTCTCCAGGAAATGGCCAAAAGGCTTAAAGCTGATCATCCTGATGCCCCCAAGCTTCCTTACGAATTCAGAGCACTTGAGGCAATTCTTATAGACGTCACTGCCAACCTCAATACTGAACTCAAGGTCCACAAGACAGTGCTTTCCAACATTCTAGCTAGTCTAGATGACTCCATCGAACGCACAAGACTCCGGTACCTCCTTATTCAATCAAAAAAGCTTTCTCAGTTTTACCAAAAGGCAAAATTGACCGGCGACCTCCTTGATGACCTACTTAATCAGGACGATGAGCTCAATGCATTGTACCTTACAGAAATACAGCAAGGCAGACCCAGAACATCATTTAATCATCAAGAAGTCGAGCTCTTGCTTGAATCTTACTATACCACCATCGATGAGATCATCCAAACAACCAAAAGTCTAATATCTCAGATTAAAACTTCTGAAGAAATCATCAAGTTTGTCTTGGACGCCAACAGAAATGATTTAATGTTACTCGGCTTACGGTTTTCGATTGGCTTACTTTCCATGGGTGCTGTATTATATATTGCCGCCTTGTATGGAATGAACTTGGAGAACTTCATCGAAGAAATCGATGGCGGCTTCGAGGGTGTCGTTATCGTCGGCCTGATCGCCTTGGTCATTTTATTCTTCTACGCCCTCAAGCATCTCAAGCAGGTGCAAAAGATCACCATGAGCGATTTGCCAAAAAAATCTCGCATTCCTCAAAAGAGGGTTTAGTCATGCTCCTCATCGTCCCCCTTGTTTATAGAAATAAGATGATTAGAGTCACTTCTGTTTCGTGAACGCTCAGTTGCTTTCTTGGAATGAACGGGCGAGCTGATAGGCGACGGGCGTGGTGTGGTTCCAGTCCTGAATGGCCTAAGCGAAAATTGGTCCCCCGAAAGTTGATTAGGGTTCTTTGGTGTTGGGGACGAAACAACCTTATTCAGATGAGTGGTATCTTTCTCGATTTTGGGAACATCGGGCGTAGTAGTAGTGTCACTTGAGACAATCCGCCTATTGATCCCAAGGTTCTGCTCTTGCCGTTTAGTTCGTTCCAAGAAGTTCTTCTCGTTGGTTATTAAGGCAATGCAGAGCTTCTCCCTGACGTTGACATTGAGCAAGGTGCGTAGAAGGGCATTGTAGGCCTCCTGAGGTGGTTTGAAGCCACCTGCGTTCTTCACAACAGAGGGGCGGAATATAAGGTGGAGGAAAGGCACCGACCCTATTTTGTCCATAGAGTTAAGTTTTTCGACTTGTGGCATTAGGTCCTCATCCTTCCTCTCCGACTCAGTTATATCATCACTCAGGCCGTATTCATCAATGGTCTGGAGTTCGAAAATGAATGAAATGCTCTCTAGAATGAAAAGCAAAGAGCAGAGATTACTCCTAGGGATTGATGATAAGGTTTTTATAACATCTGCAATGTTTTCCTCGGAATTCTTCTGTGAGTTGAGTAACGAATCGTACACTGTGCAAGGAATCACAGAGTCGCTGGTCTCTAGGAGCCAATTTTTCAAGAAGTTCAAGATCCGCTTCGTTTTAGACTTTGAAAGGTGTTCAATGACTTTCTGTACTATAGCAACCTCAACGGCCTTTTCATCTTGGATATTGAGATCTTCAGTTGGTTCGAACTTTTGAATGAGATCTATAGCCTCGTGCTTCAACAGCCAGTACTCTTGGTGATCTATCGGTGCTAGCCATAAGTCTTGCATTTCCGATTTTTCGGCCGAGAATGTAGCCTCGACTAAACCCTTGAGAAGTAGTGGAAGTGAGCGGGTGCTCAAGAGAGTGTCCTTTTCCACATCAGAGCTCTTCACTTGAAGCGGTATGTCTTTGTATAAGTTGAAGGTGAATTTGATATTTTGGAAGCTGATGTTGAGTAGACTGGGATCGAAATGCTCCTTGCCCTGGTGTGGCAGCACGATTGCAGGGAAGTAAATTCCAGTGCTATTATTGTGGAGAAGATCACGAAGATCTCGTTCGTAATTGACTGGTTTGTTGAGGTTCTCAATAAAATTCGACGTGAAGTCGTGGAGTGAGGAGGTGGCCTGAGAAGAATTTCTGTAAAGCACCTCCAGAAGTTTTGTAAGACTTTGATAGACCACTTCAATTCTCACCATTTCGAACCTCTCAAAAATCTGTGATTTATTGAAAATCTCCATATCGAGAAGATGTTTGATTTTTTGGACGTCCTCGTATGCCTCGTTGTATTCTTCTTCAAGCTCGTTGATAGCTTCTTCTGAAAATTTTGGCTTCATGAGTGAAGACTTGACATTTTTGAACATCATATTGAAGCGTTTGGAGGTTGAGCCCGCCACCTCGTTAACTTTTCTAGAGGATTCTTCTAGGCCTAGATGAGAAAAGGCTTGGGAAGTAGGCAGCGTGACGGTGGAAGAAGATGATGAAACGTAACCCCGGGATTCTGCCGTATTCACTGCCTCCTGTGACCATTCAAACCACATGCCCTCACTCTTGAACTTCTGTGAGAACAAGCCACTCCCTAGAATAATCTTCCTATCGATCAAGCTCTGCCCTAGTTTTTCTAGACTTGATCTGGTTGGGTTGAACCCATGCGGTCTGTGTGTCTTGAGGTAATTACACAATTGGTCACTGCTGAAAATCTCGTTTCTGTACCCAGGGAATGGAATCTTGCGCTTGACGGTCGTGATGGTGGCTATGGCTTTCGCCAAGAAAGATTGCAATTTATCTTTGGACTCAAATTTGAGTCCTCCGCCAAGTAGAAGAGGGTATGCTAGATCCAACTCAGGGGGTCCATCTTCTCTCTCACCTTCCTCCTCCGACTCATACACATGCTTTGGCCTTTCTGGGGTTCCTGGAAGTGTGCCGTAGGACTCATCGGGATCATGCTCAATTCGGTGGTCGTGACCTTCGAGTTCACCTAGTCTTACCAATTCGTCGTATTTGCGCTTAGTTCGTTCCATCTTTTGTCGTGAATCATCATAGTCATCTAGGAGTTCATCGAAACGATCAAGTGTTGTTTTGATCTGAGGCTCATGTAGTTTGATGAATCCGGTGATCTTTCCAAGCACCTCTGACTCGATCTCTGATGCCAAATTGAGCTGCATTTGCAGCTCCAATGCCGTTCGATCAACGAACTCCTTGAAAACATGCCTCACATCGATCTCTTTTGGCTTCAGTTCTGAGGTTGATCTCTGTGAACCACTTATTATACGTCTCTCATTTCTTTCAGAACGGAAAGAACTATCAAGCGGGAGACTTTCCCTGGCTAGTTTGGCCATATAACCGCTATTGGAGTGATGATAGTTCATGTAATTGAAGATGAACTTTCTGAGCTCATGAAGCTGGTCTAAGGAATCAAGCAGCTGTTGTGAAAGCAGCTCAATGCCTGACCTGTAATCAGGCGACCAGTAGGCATTTGCAAACCTAGTCATGGAAAACAGTGTGATGGTTACACAGTTATCGCTTACCGATATAGGCTTTCCCAGTGTTTATATCACGTGACAGATTTTTGATTTCTGCAGTGATGCACGTTCCGAATAACGTACAGCGTTTGACTATATACATCATTAATATGCTATTGGCTAAAGCGGATTTTACGCTGCTCTAGCTCCTTTTTCAAGTGCTCATCAAGACCAACCTTGAGTCTGTGGACCAAATTAATATCGCGACTGATGCCTGTATTGATGGCATTGAGCTTTCTGTAGGCCTTGATAAGATGCGGTGGGGTATTTTTCGCAGCCATCTCAAGCCCTAGGTCGCGAGTGATAGTTGCAATATCCAACCAAAATGGATCCAGTTTTGACACCAATTCTTTGAACTCTCCCCATTTGACCTTCTCGCTCTCACTCAAGGGATCCCACGGTATAGGAAGCCGGTCACCTTGGTTATAAATCACACGAGCTTCGAAATCTGTCATATGGTCGCCTGTGAGTCTCTTCATGATTCTGTAGTGCTCCGGAATGCATGACGTGGGAATTGGGTAGGGAAATTGATGATTTCTGGGTTTGGGCTTCCCTAAATCGGCATGCTTGTTGAACTCAACCGGCAAGTTCAACTTCTGTACCGAATCTTCGTGCACGATGCATCGAAGGAGGAAGTTGGCTTGTGAAAGCGCGATGTCATCTGTAGTAATGGCTTTGATGAAGTTGCCAATCACCTCCGGAGATTGAGCATTCACATACTTGTCGAAGCGGGTGTATATGTACAAGAGAACAAGTGTGCGGTTGTTCAACTTCTCGTTTTGGTAGACCTCTTTTGCGAGTGCATTGATCGTTGTCTCATCAATGACAACTTCATTTAGGAGATCAAATGCTGGTTTGAGCTCTAGAGCGTTCTTGGCTCTGGACACAATGTGCAAAACAACTTTCTCTGCCAATCTCGGGTCTTCTCTCCATCCTGGACGTCTAAGCTCATTGCACAAAAAGTCCACAACGTCTTGTGTATCCTGAGTGGTTTGACAGAAGTCCTCGAGAATCCTGACACACATGTGGCTCAGGATAGGCAAGTTAATTGAGGACATTTTATTAACATAGACCTCTCTCAAGAAAATGTTCGTGATGCACTCGTAAATTCGAGCCCATGTAGTAAGGTTCACGGAAATGTCCATGCGTTTTATGAGACTGAGGTATCTCAAAATCACACTGTATGAGCTGACAAGCGACCGCCTCGTAGAATGGCTTCTGCAAATTTTTAAAAGCTCATTGATAGTCTCAAGGTTGGGCTGCTTTCCATCAGCGGCCATGACGAGTAGAAGCTCTTTGGCAAAAGATGCCTGGAATTTGTCGTAGCCGAAAAACTTGATGAGGTAGTTGTAAGTTTCGACTGATCGGAGCTCTTTGAAGCTATCGTTTTTCAATGAATGTGTGTATAAAAGAATCTCGGGAATGACACCGCTTAGGAGCGAGGATGAGTTCTTGTATGGCATTCTGACGTGGGTGAGGAAGAAGATATATTCTTGGAACGACTCTTTGGTAAGCGGTTGGGGAAAAGGTGGGACCTCGCCAAAATGGTACCTGGGCACGTCGTATTTGTTCTTCCTGAACTCGTCATCTTGTTGTTTCAAGACATTCCCTAACGCTGCTGGATCACTAACTGTCTTTTCACACTTGAGATGCTGTGGGGTAAGCTGGACCAAAAAATCAAGCATCTTGTTGAAGGTGAACCTTTCAGAGAGAAACGTATTGAACACCGCTACCCTGTCTTTGCTGGATTTCACTGCATGATTGGCCTCTGCTCTGGCAGAATCGTACTTGGGTAAATCTTCATCGAATATCTTCAACTCGGGCATGTTGAGTGGTTTGAGGAAGCTCTGGAAACGCTTCTTCTGGAAACCCTTAAGCTGTTCTCGGTATCTTTTAAGCTCTTTTTTCGAAATACGTTCTCGACTCGGTAGTTCATTGAACTGTGAGCTCTTCACGGATTTTGTATGCTGTGAAGGCGGTCGGAGCGGCAGCTTAGCCTGCTCTATATTCCGTGCAACACGAGATACACGTATTAGAGCATCTTTGAGGGAACTCATCAATCCATATGCAATTTATGTGTGTGGATGCAAAGGCTGAATTTTCTGAGCATAGAGCCCGATCACCGAGATAGTACTAGGCGAAGATGGCGCACGTGACCAAGTCTACAAAAACCGTTAACAATACTATATTCTATCCAAATGCCGGGGAAGCCCTCAAAAGGAGCATCACATAAAGTCGTCGTCACCAAAGTCGTCGAAGTTGTCGTCCAAGTTGTCGAGGGCGTCCTTCTTGAAGTGCGTGTCGTTGACATTAGTCTTCACCAAAGGCTTGGCCTTCTTCTTACCGGCACCTCCCGTGGCAGTACCGCCTGCCTTCGCCAATCTTGCCTGTCTCTCTTGTCTCTCCTTGTCTTTCTGAAGAACGTTCAAGGTCGAAACGACCTTTCTGGTGCTCTCCACAGACAATGGCTGCACGAGGTCTCTGATCAAGTCAATGGCCAAGTTAGAAGAGTAGAGCAATGACAGGTCCTTGGCCAAGCCGGTCAAGATAGGAGCCAAAGTCTTTCTGAGCTTCTCGAACTCCTGTTTGTTCGTAGGCTGGAACAAGGGGTGCAGTTCCAACGGCGTGTCCTTGGTGAAAGCTGGCTGCTTGTTAGAGGCAGCAGCGGCAGCAGCAGCTCTCTCCTTAGGGTGGGCAGTCAACTCGTCGAGTTTGTCGTTGGCCACACCCAAACTGCCGAACAAGTCGGCGGCATTGTTCAAGTCAGACTCCAACTCGGCCTTCTTCAACAATTCTCTTCTGGTCTTCTCGTCGACAGTGTCAATGTCCAAAAGCTTCTTCTCGCCGGATTTCGCAGCGAGCTTCTTGGCCTTGGCTCCATCCTGCTTCTTCTTCAACTCGGCCTTCTTCTTATCTTCAGCGGCCTTCTTCTTCTTGGCCTCCTCCTCTTCGTCGACCTCCCACGATTCCATAACTGGCTCGTCGTCGGCCTCATCTTCCCAGGATGCCACTGGGGCGGTCTTAGCAGAAACGTCAAAGTCCTCGTCGTCCCACGACATATTGTTGTAAGTTCTGATGGATTCTCTGCTCGGTTTTTTCTGCCTTCTATAGCCCTGCGGTCACGTGCGTCTCCGAGCCGGTCACCTTCAGTAGTGAAAATGGGGAAGTTTCAATTGGGAGAAAGTTGACGATAGAAGGTTTTAGGAAATTGGAAAGAGTGGAGAAATTTGGTAATTGATTGGGGTCGGCAAGAACAAGATTTTGAAAGACCGAGCCGTCCCAGACATGGGTGGTCGAAATGGCCAGTACAAATGGCTTTAACGAGTTCATTGGATGGAGTTGTCGTATTTACATAGACACAGAAAGCTTGATTTTACAGAATCAGGACCACTCTTTTTTAGACGTGTTGGTTTAGCTTTCTCTCATCCCCACCGATCTGCGATTTACTCCAGAATCGGCTTTTCGCAGCCATTTTCAAAACCTACCATTCCAATGGACAAAACCACGTATACTCAAATTCTTTCAAAAAAACCTAGCCTAAGCAGATATTCACCTTCAATTCTCATTTTCATATCCATTCGCCGAACCGTGATTTTTCACCGTGTGTGATGATCTTCGTTCCTCCTGCATCAGCATCAACTACAACTCTTCCTGATGGTCCAGCTAGAAAAGCTCCTTTCATGGGCACAGGGCCAGGGGGCTTGGCTTTCGCCCTCCTTGAAGGTCACTCAATCACCGCTAGGCGGCTTGGGTCTCCTTGCCACCGGACACTTGGAGGAAGACTCGATCGTGCTTCGAGTTCCTCAAAATAGCACATACGACATCAAGAACCTCCTCCACTACGCAGAACAACTCAAAAAGGGCCGCCCAGACGTCAGCAATGTGTTCAGCTCCGTGCTACTGATGATTCTGGGTCCGACAGAAACCACAGTGATCAGAGGATACGTCTGGAGCTTTGCCATTCTACAGAGTATGGGCGTCGACCTCGAGCCCATTGCGCCGTACCTAGACGTGCTACGTACCACGGAGGTGCTAGACGTGGACGAGAACCTCGAGGTTCTGGACAGCCTTGTTCAGTGGCAAATAATGCAAAAGCGCCGAGTTACGCTGGAGCTTTGTGAGATGGTCAAAGCGCACCCGGAGTTTGCCCCACATCTTCTGGCAGAAACCGCTTTCCGGCTTCACCAAGCTGTCAAGTCACGGGTTCTTGAAATCCCACATCCCGTCGAAGACGAAGAATACGAGTTCACTACGCGAGTCACCCTTGTGCCGTTGCTAGACTTTGCCAACCATGCGCAGACCAACAACGCAGTGTTCGATGTGGACAGGACCACGGGAGACGTGATTCTTCGGGTCACAAAACCGGTGGATGCCGAAACCGAGGTTTGTATTAGCTACTCACCGTCGAACGATATGGGCCTGTTCTTCAGAACCTACGGCTTCATTCCTCAGCACGGCGTCTACGAATGGGTGCTTCCTCTGTTCAATTGCATCACCAACGCCGCCAAGGGCACTAGCGGTGTCGATTACGTAAAAATGGCCAAATGGCTTCGAGTGAAACCTCGTCTTGTTTTCGCTCTGTCCGAAGATGCCGTCACCGTGGACCTTACCGAGTCCCGGCTTCCTCTTCTTATGGTTCCTGGGCTCACGTACTACGCCGGATGGAGGGACGAAAAAGCAGACATTGAGGAGGACGAACACGACATTGAGGAATTGATTTTTGAAGAAGAAAACAACCCGGTGATTTTGTCCACCGAAACAGCCTACGGAGTGGTCTTTGAAGATGCCTACGTCAGTGTGCCTGATATCCTAGAGCAAACATGGGAAGACTCCGAGCACGGGATCCGCGAGTTAGTCAAGCTCACTAAACCGCTTATTGACATGGCTGCAAAAACTAGTAAAGAAGCTGACGTCACCACGTTGGCCGCGTCAGCCAGTCAGCATGCCAGCACGCAATTGAAGGGCTATTTTGCGGCGAAACATGCCCTACTCGATCGCCTTCTCGAGCTTTCTACGCAAGACTTTGTGTACATGATTGGCACGCTGACATAGATGAGACACACTTTTTTTTGCTCCCATTTGTAAGCGCTACCAGAGTCTAGTGCGCTGTGCTGAGCAATGCAGGATCCGCGGGCCAGAGTATAAAAATGCTGCGAAACCTTGTCCAATTCTCACATTCACAACCATGGTTTCCCAAGTTGCCTCTAAAGCTGAATTCCAAGAAGCACTCAAGCACGACGGTTTGGTCGTCGTTGACTTCTTCGCCACGTGGTGTGGTCCTTGTAAGATGATTGCTCCATTGTTGGACAAATTCTCCAAGGAGTACACTTCTGCCAAGTTTGTCAAGGTCGACGTCGACGAGGTTGGTGAGGTTGCTCAGGAGTACGAGATCTCCTCCATGCCAACCATCATTTTCTTCAAGAACGGTGAGGTTGTGCAGAAGGTCATTGGTGCCAACCCTAATGCCTTGAAGCAGGCTTTGGCTGCTAACGCCTAAGTGTATATGAATCAACGACACACAGAATCCTTCGCTGTAGATACGCAATTACACATTTAATCCGTTGCACATAATAAATTCGTAATCATTACCGTAAAACCTATTCCCAAATTTCTATAAAAAAGCACATTCGTTCACCTTCGAGGCAAACTCGTTGACGATGTTGAGGTCGCCGATCCATTCCTGGGCCCCGTGGAGCACATGGTGCACGAGGGTGTCATAAATCAAGTAGTACTGCCTCATGGTCTGCACCATCAGAATTCTTTGCCGACGCAAGTTGTTCACCATTGGATAAACCGGGTTGCTGGCAAAGTCGAAAGAACCGCCATTGCACCTCGAAAGGTTGACAATTGTGTCCAAAGCACAGAACACACCAGTTCGGCCACAACCGGCAGAACAATGCGTAATGGTGTGATACTAAGGACGGTGTCTGACCTTGTCGAGAACGTGCCTCTTGATAGTCACGAGATTTATCAAATCCTTAGGATCCACAGCGCTGCTCATGTCGGCCCAGGTGCACAAGTGAAGCTGTAACACACGGTGGAAGACCTTAGCGTCAGAGCTCACCTTGAAGGATCTGATCACAAGGTTGCCTTGAATCTCTTCGTTCTCAATGTCAACCTTGATAATATTCTCACCTGATCTGTAGACACCAGGCTTCCAAAATGGCGAGCACTTGTGCACACCGTTTTCGTATTCACCCGATAAGGAGACAATCAAAAGACACTTCTGGTTGATGACACATTTCCAAAAATCACCAATGGTTTCTCTCATAGGACCCTGCGTCGCAATGTACTTCAACTCGTCAACATTATCCTGCGTGACCTCGCCTTGCACGACATCCCCCACATACTTCAGTGGGTTCAAATACGAGGCATTGATGTAGTCGCAAGACAGACTTTTGGTCTTGATTCTGGCCCCGTCAGTTAACCGAACACGCGAGTGATCAAACAAGAATATATCTTTGTAACGGTTCTTGTGGCCATAGTCAAGCCCGCAATTGATCTGAGGACAGAGTTCCGAGGATCCACCAGGTGTGCAGATTTCTGGCTTATTTTCGCTGTAGCAAAATGCACCATTCAACCGATTCTTCTCGCACTGCTCAAGCTTGTTGAACTCATCAGTGACCAAGCAAGAATTCTTCTCCACAGCTTGGAGCCAAGGAGGAAGCTTGGCAATTTCTGCCGGGGTCAACGTAGAAAGTCCAAACTCTTCCTTCCTTGGTGTTACCAAACTCTCAAACATCTCCTCGTTGTGTCTAATTTTGAACTTAGCAATGGGTATATCTTGAGGAAGCTTAAAGTTCGACACTGGCGTGGAGATATCTTGGAAAGTAGCACTGGAACATGGAACGCCAGTGAGTGAGTGCGAGCGACGCTGTTGCAATGGACTGCGCTTCAAAGTATCGATCGAGAGCGATGGCTTTGTCACGGCAGGTGCACTCAAAGCTTGAGGCTTCACAGACAACAGATTAATGTCAATCGTATCTTCCTTTCCAGAAGAAATGAATTCAGGAGCTGATGCAGTGAAAGCCTGGAAGTTCTCATCTATAAGATAGATTGGAGGCCCGTTCTTTAAATCCCAACTTGAACCATCCACCAATTTCTTGCACATGTGCAATAAACCGCTGGAAGAATTTGTGTTATCGTAGACAAGTATGGGAGGCATGCTGTATCCACTGAAGGACTCATCAGAATAATGATGCATATAATTTTGTAAGATAGTCTTTTCGTATGTTGGAAGCGAGTTCATGCAGCGAAGAAAATTAAAATTTGCTCTTTTTAGAAGAGTCAGCGGGAGACACACGTTAAGCGCCCCTGAAATATGCCCTTTCATGTAGTCTGCAAACGGCCTGATATCGATGATCAAGACGCTTGGAAGATGCGTGGAGTCGAGAACACGACGAGCCTTCAAGAAAGCAACGATCTCCTTACGACACACATATTTGATAGAAGGAGAGACGCCTGTGATGCTGTCACGCAAGTTTTCTTGCAAGGGAACCTGGTGGAGGCGTCTTGTTTGCTCGGTCTGGATGGAGGCGACGTAGTCTGATCTGCCCAAGTCACCTGATGTAGGATGCTTCTTGATGCTGGGAGGAGCAAAACTGGTGCTGGCCAGTGTAATAGGGGCCGTTAGCAGTGATTTGAGCGAGGGAGGCTGCTGGTATGTGGTGGTGGGTGTTTTAGGGGTTTCGTTGGCGAAGTTAAAACGAGGCGTAGTAGCGGAGACGCATTTCTTATCCTCCTCTTCAAATTCGTAGAGAGGCTCGCTGACCCCCAGGGGAAACGTCAGCGACAGTGGCTGCTGGAAAGAACGACGTGGAACGTTGAGCTTCAACTGGAGCATGTTGCGGCGGTTTTTTGTGGGGGACGAGTTGGACGAGTTTTCGCCAATAAGCGTGTCAGTCGACATGGAAAGGTCAGCGGAGGACGATGAAGTGTCGCCCACCACGGTGGAGTCGGACGTCAAGGAGGAAATGGAGTTCGCAGCGTTCTTGTGTAATCTGGGCTTTGCAAAGGTGGTGGAGGAGGCCGAGTCAGATCGGGCAAAAGTATGCTGCGGAAGGTTGGCGAAGTAGTCTGCCGTGTCGAAGTTTAGAAGAGGCAGCTGGAGATGTAGCTTGGTCATGGGTTCGTTCACGTCAGCGGCTTCGTAGGAAAAGTAGTCGGCCTTGTCGGAGTTGGGCATCTTCAAGGACCCTCCAGGTGTGTACTGGGGGAACTTGTACCCAGTGCAACAAGGGCTAGTGCTCATAGGACGAAGTAGCCAGGAAGAAGATCAAGGGGGTTTTGGTCGGGAAAGAAAGAAGGAGCTTGTGGGTCCAATGGAGTCGAGGAATGTAAACACCTGCGAAGAGAAAAAAAAAAAGGAAAGCCGAGAATGACGTAGGAGGCTAAAGCGCACACACAGACACGAGAAAAAAAAAGTTGAAGGAGATGGCCAGGCCTAGCCCGAGGCCCGATGGCGCAGACCATCTTGATAACCGCTCGGGAAGGCGGGCTTCCGTGTTTTTTCCCATCTAAAACACTTTAAAGCGCCTGCCATTTATGTGGCGGTGCTGGCCAGGGCTCAACGTCTGACGTCTATGACGTGCACTAGTCGCACCATAACCCCGGTCTAGGCCTGGGCCGAATGCGCGCCAATCCATTTGCACCCACTAGCCAAGCCAGCCGTTGGATATTGTTCGTCAGACTTGAGTATGGGCGTTGGAGGGGACCGGCGGAGAAGGCCAGGAAAGGCCCGGACGTGAGGAAAATTCTAAAAAAGATTCCTCTGGCCTAGACCCTTCACTGTGGCGTGTGCGGCCGCACCCTTTTTACCCGTCCTGAGACACCGGGGTGGGTCCTGATTGTCTGTTTTAGCGCCTGGAGCCAGCGCCGTGCGAGCCCCACCATCACCGTCTTTCCTTATCAGCACCGCCAGCATTGGGCAAACTGGAAACACTAAATTCCTTCCCTCATGTAATTTAATTTTGGTTTCTTCTTCTCGTCTATCCCTCGTGGCATTGTCATCCTCGTCTTCGGCTCACCACAGTCGCCATTCTTCAATACTTTTTGCTCGTCTTTGTTCTTTGTCTCTCACCCCTATAACATTGCCCTATTTGCAGCCAACAGGGCCACTCGCCTATCGCTTTCGCCGTTTAGGAACGTCGTCCTCGTCGGCGAAGCTCCTTGACTTCCGCCGCCGCAAGCGGTTCTCATATTTGCCCCCACTCTCGGGATGCCTCCTCTCCTCAATGATGCCTCGTCTCGAAGTCAGCTTTTCGGGTTTAGGCCTTTCGGGACGCGGTGTCGCTGGTGTCGCTGGCGTGGCTGGCGTCGCTTCGCTTTCTTCAACTTCAACTTCACCTTCAAATAAATGGGCATTGGGGACGTCCTGCCGGGCCTGGTCCACAAGCTCCTTGTATGCTTTGGCGTCCTGGGCCACACCGCTCTTGATTAGCTTCTTCATGAGCTCGTTATTTTCGTCATTACTTTGGCTCCGCTGGACCTTTTGAAAAGGTTCTTGAGGTGCAACGGGGGCCGTGCCGAGGGTCGAGCTGAGCCCGTCAAAGTACATCTCATTCACATTGAGGTGCCTCGACGGATCAAGCTCTTTCTGACGCAAGCTCTTGAGACTAGCCACGCCCTCGTCATCCTGAAAATCGTCAGGGAGAAGCTCGCCACACTGTAATGCCGCTGCGTCTTGCGAGGTGTATTCCTTGGTGTGTGCAATTCGACTGTGATTGAGGAAACCTTGCGCTGACGAGAAGTTGCTACGGTGGCAATCGGGACAGGTAAGCTTGACGATGATACCATCCGTTCGGCGGTACAAGCAGCCCGCCACTCGGAGGCCAGGACCTGTTATGCTGGGACGTAGCGATGACGTTGTAGATCTTGTTCTGTAGTGGGCTGGCTCTGGAGGCGCTGTTTCAAACACCGCTTCGTTGAACTTCGGCTGCTCTTGGTACAGCTGCTGCTGGAGCCTCGTGTAGCTCACGGAGAGCGACTTGTTGAGCACATCGTAGTACTTGAGTGTGAAGTCGTTGGGTTCACTGTTGAAGGTCACATCGTTGGGCACATCGAAGAACTTGCGGAGCGCTAGCATCTGGGCTTCACATTTGCCCATTTCTTCTTCGGTAAGACGGAGCTCTCGGTGCTTGAGGCGGATCTCGAGGTCCACTTGGTTCATGAGAATACTGCGGAGCGTTTCGGTCGGTATATTCTGGAGTCGGGCCATGAGGCTCTCTTTATCGATGACAGGGGCTTCTGAGGGTTCAGCCTGCGGCGTTTCTGCCGGAGTGATCAGCTCCTCTGGTGTTAGCAGCTTGGGTCCCATGGTGGAGCTGAAGAAGATGCACCAAATTGTTTGGCTGATTGATGGCGCCTGCAGATATATGGCTCAGATGGAGCACTTTTTGTAAGGAAGAAGCGTTAGCGGGTCTGGGCCGGGGGTGCATTTTTCAAGGAGCAGGTGGTAAAGGGCTTTGATTCTGAGGGATTCCATGGATTTAGAATTGGAGGCTTTTGTTGGTGGTGGGGGTGTACTGGGCACTTGTTGGTCCAACGCGAACCGTTTTGCAGCAATTGGGGGAGACTCTGTGGGGGCACCGGGAGGTGGCAGTTTCGCTATTTGCTGAAATGGGATTTTGACAGGATTTTGATTGGGTGATTCGAGATCTGGGCTCTTTTTTGGATTTGGGGTAATTTTTGGTTTGCCTTCCCTGTGCTGTACCTTCAGTGAACCCTTCTGCTTGCGAATCTTGGCCTTGGGCTCCGGGACTGGGGTAGTTGGTTTTTGTGATTTCTCTTTCACCTCTTGTTTTGATGGCCTGCCGATCTTTGTTGGGAGTTCTGCTTTGACAGTCTCCTTAAGCCTGGGATTCGCCTCCTTAGAGCCATCTTGATCAAACTTGCCACACACCTTCTTCCCCCCGATACCCGGCGATATCCCAAAATCAAACCGCTTCTCGCTGATTGGCGTCGAACAAGCCTGAATCTTTTTTGAATCCCCAAATATGCGTTGTAGCTCCTTCGAGGAAAACAGATCGTCGCAGTCAAACACACTGCCAGACCGCTTCTTGAAAGACTTGCGATTTTCTGAAATCTGCTGCTTACGCTTGCTTTTGTAGCCTGCAATTAGAAACCATTCTAAACATTTCTCAGGTCTTATATACCTTTAAGGGCACCTAGCACGTCAGTTCTCATGTAGTAGTGGCTGCGAAAGTACTGTAGAAACCCACCGATTTGGATCGCACAGCTATCAACTACATCTTATAAACTAGATATTCACGTTTCCACGGGCACAACCCATTTCTGATTTGATATTGACTTTTCAGCTCATACTATACAGCGCAATGTCGGAAAAGCCAATTTTGCCGTCCATCGTTTCGATGGGTGCTCTTACCATCAACGACAACTCCAAACATGGATTCGGATACAACCCGTCTGTGGGGCCCTCGTCCAACGCCATAACGCCAGAATCGTCATCAATTCTCCTCAACAAAAGAACCATAAGCTTGACGCCCACGTCGCATAACTCCATCTACGACAAAACCGTCAACACGAAAAAAGTCAACGAGATCAGTCTATCGTCCTTGGCATTCCTCTTCTGCGAGGTGGTCAACTGGGCGCTGTCACAGTCCAAAGGAATCCAAGATTTGGAAAATAGACTCAACGGACTCGGGTACCAGATAGGCCAGCGGTTCTTGGAACTAGTCAAACTACGCGAGGGTATGAAGCACGGCAAAAGAGAAACGAAAATCATCGAGATCCTACAATTCATCCACGGGCCCTTCTGGAAAAGCATTTTCGGCAAGACCGCCAACGACTTGGAGAAGTCCCTGGACGTCAACGACGAGTACATGATCATCGACAACCTCCCTGTCGTGTCCAAGTTCATCAGCATACCCAAGGAATACGGCAACTTGAACTGCCTGGCGTTTGTTGCTGGTATCATTGAAGGCGCTCTAGACTCCTCAGGCTTTCACGCAACCGTGGTGGCGCATTCTGCCCCATTGGACTCTTTCCCTCTCCGCACAGTGTTTTTGATCAAACTAGACGAACAGCTTCTCCTCAGAGAGGAAATAAGATTCAATTAGGCAGACCTATGTACTCTATAGAAACAACAACTTTCAAAAATCAATAGTTAGCGCTGTCAAGTGTAGGTCCCATGATCCATGGAAAATGCACGACTGACATACACCTCAATTTTTCAGCAGTACTAGCTGAACATCTACACTGCACCATGGGGATCAACATAAGGAGAGCCACCATCGAGGATGTTCAGGCCATGCAGAATGCCAACTTGCTCAACTTGCCGGAAAACTACCAGTTGAAATACTACATGTACCATATCTTGTCCTGGCCTCAGGCCAGTTTCGTCGCTACAACCTATGACACACTTGATAACGACGAGGACGAAAACGGCGAGGTTCTTGCCGAGGAGCCAATAGAAAACATAGATCTCAAAGACCCCAAGGGCGACACATCATACATCAGAAAGGGTGAAAAGATTGTCGGTTACGTTTTGGGTAAAATGGAGGATGACCCAGAAGCTGAGGACAAGACTCCACACGGCCACATTACATCTTTGGCTGTCATGAGAACATACAGAAGAATGGGATTGGCGGAAAAATTGATGCGCCAGTCGCTATACGCCATGTGTGAAGTGTTCAAGGCGAAGTATGTGTCGCTCCATGTTAGAAAGTCGAACAGAGCGGCGTTGCATTTATACAGAGACTCGTTGGAGTTTGAAATGACAGACACCGAGAACTCCTACTACCAGGACGGTGAAGATGCATACGCCATGAGAAAGGACTTAAAGTTAGAGGAGATGCTCCCGTACCATGGTTACGAAGAGCAGGACGACTTTACCCAGGATCTTATCTAGAGTCACAGTTGCTACTCAGGCACATTCTATGGGTACGATTGTGTAGGATTGGGGATACAAAATCTAATATACAAGGATGCAAATGGCCCGAGGCCGTGGTAGGTGCTCAATACGCTCTGTCCGCTTAGTATCTCTCCTTCATCCTGGAGGCCACGGTACGCAAGTTTCCGTAGACCTTTCCTGGAGGAGAACCCAAGATAAGAGACACGACGGCTTCTCTGGCCATTCTGATGTGCGTGAAGCCACCCAAGATGTGGATTTTGGAGTCTGCCAACACGATTCTCGTTCTCGTGGCGTTCTCAATGGCGAACTTGGTCTTACCGTCTTTACCTGCAATACGGCCGATAGCTCTGGACAAGTGGTCACCGGTCAAGGTCTTGACGTCCTTGATTTCGAACGTCTCGATATATAGATCGTCCAACCTCAAAAGAGCGATGGCATCGTCGACATCGAAGCCGAGGGTGAACGCTTTAATGAAGTCAGCGCCCTTTTGCAAAGCACCCTCGTCCTCAGTGTGCTTGTTTGTTCTCAACTCGACTGTCTTGGTCTTGAGGTTCATTCTCACTTGTAGCTTCAAGTGCTCCACCAAAGGAGGGTATATCTTCATCCAGGTGTTCTTCAAAGGCGACATTCTGTGGGGAGGAATTGGCACTTTTCTGCTTTCCAACTTCACCTTCATGCCGCTCTTGCCAGCAGCAGCAAACTTGGGTTTTCCGCTTTCATCTAGCACCACCGATTCAGGCTGGGGCTCATCGTCCTTCATTTCCTCATCTTCAGCTGCCGCCTTGGGCTCCTCACGTGGCACGTTGTTGACGTCAACTAAAAGCTCGTCATCGTTGGATTCCTGTGGTTTTGTTTCAACCGGAGCCTTTTTAATGGCTGTAGGGGCAGTCATGGGTGTTTTGTCAAGCTGGTGGGCAGAAAAAAGTAGCTGATGCGATGAGTGTACTGCACCGCGATGGACCCCAGATAAGGTGGACCATCTGGGTAGTCAGTGGTGGTGATGAGAGGGATGAATTAATTTTGATCTAGAATTGGATTGTTGAAGATTTTATTGGAGGTTTGGTGATGGTTGATGTTTGGGTGTCATCTGAAGGCATGTACGAGGGTATGTACCTATGGCCAGCATACGACTATCGAAAATTATGATAGCAGACAGCCATTTGATTAGTCCTTCGAATTTTCAACGCTTTCCTTCAAACCCTTTCTTCAATTTGTTGTGGAAATCTGCTTTTACACGAACTCCCCAAACATGCCCACCGGGGTGCCTCACGAATTTCGCAGCCATTTAGCTTTCGGTTGGAGCCGAGACTCAAATACCGCAAACACAAAATAGCTTTACTTTTTGTCCCCTTGAGAAATACAATAGCACTCCGAAAAACACGAGTCATGTAATTGACAACCACAAATCGCGTATCTCTCTACATTCCTCTTTGGTCATTGCCCAGATAGTATACCAAACAAAATCCCCTGAAAATGAATTTGCACAAAGGTCATTCACTCGAACCCTCTATCTTCAACAGACGACGAAATAAAAAAGAAAATGCAAAATGATCCGCACCTCCAACCTTATAAGCGTTGCTAGCTTATCCACTCATAGCGGCAATCTGATTCCGCGAACCAGTCAGTCAGTGCTCACACGAGCAATGCTTGCTGACACGACCATCCAACCAAAATTCAAAAAACTCTAAAAAAACCCATCAATTATTCAATCAACCGCTTGCTGCCATTTTCGGCCTTTGTCTCTCGGCCTTTGTCTGTCGGCCTTAACCACTTGCTCTGCACAAGCACGCGCGATATATAATTTCTCTTCCCCAGCTTACTTTTTTTTTTCCTCCAGGCTCAACCAGCATTCAACTGCAAACAGCGAACATTCGCCAATATACAATGTTCAGAGGTCTTGTGCCCCGGCTGGCCCGGTCGGTGTCCTCAGTTGGCCGATTCGGTTTAATCGGCCTCCGGCACCCCACACCGGTTCGTCAGCAACCACTCCAAGCATTGTGGAAAACTCAAAGACCATTTACACAAAGCGCTGTTCGCCTCAGAGTGCCTGGCCCTTTGAAGACATCAAAATCAGAACTCCTTGCAGGGGCCTCCTCGAAGCTTTCTCGGTTCTGGATCCACGTGAAGTGGCCCTTGACGAGAAATAACCGTCCTTTCTCCATAGATGACTTCTCGGCTTTTGCGTCCTGGCTTGTCATGGGAAACGTCTTGTGGGTTGTTCTTGGTACTACGACCTTTGGTTTGGTTACCATGTACTCCATCCATACCTTTGACAAGTTCTGGAACACTATCAGCGGTGATGACGAAGATGATGAGGACGTCGCTCCTCAGGCCAAAGACAAGAGCTTTCTTTCCTATCTCGCGGGATCGATTTTATCGCAAGGTTTAGGTATGAGATTTGTGTTTGAAAGAGGCAGCGTCTTGCCGGAGCTCACCGACGGAATGCTCAAGTTTAGGAATTTGAAGGTTGTGTCATCCGAGAATAACGATGCTCTTCGCTTCCTCGCTAAGATCCAGGAACTCAACATTACCTTGTCCTTCAAAAAGTGGTACGATGGAAACGGCCTTATTGACGATATGGAAGTTTTTGGCATGCACGCCAAAGTCTACAAGAAAGACGATACTTGCCCCAAGATCGAATCAGACGATAAGGTCGACCCACTTAGCTCCTTCGCCATGTCCATCAGCAAGTATGACAGCAACAACATCCAAAACGACTTCCATGAGCACAAGTTGGAGGAGCTCGAAAACCTTAATAGCGAAAGCACCGCCTTCCTTGCTTCCAACTATCAACTCGGCCATATGAGAGTGCATGACTCCTTCATTGAAATCTATGAGAACCAAGACATAACCCCATTCAAGGTTACCATTTTCAACTGTGACCTTCCAAGACTTCGTGGCGACCGCTTGATTGTTGATTTCTTCAATGCCAGCAACGTTACTGGAGCCGTCAACAACTCCATGTTCACCATACACAAGCATCAATCTTTCACCGACGAGAATGTCGTGAGGTTTAAGCTTGACAGCATCGACATGGAGTCGATCTCTCGTGCCAACCCACAGCTGAAGTTCAACTGGATTGTTAATGGAAAGGCAGAAATTCTCGCCGATATTCGTCTTCCAGAGCTGAAAAAGGCCAAGGACGATAGCGGTTTCCTTCCATCAACATCTACCCTTCAACAAATGTGGGCGGATCTCAAGACCGCCACTTCGGCACCACAAGAGGCTCAAGAAGGCGAGGAAAAGAACAACAACAGTCTCTTCAAGGGAGCTCTTGCTGCTCTCTACCAGACCTTTGCCAAAAATAAAGAGCAAGATGATCCTCGTTCTCGTAACGATAGCGAGTACGTCATCGTCAACGTCAAGGTGAAGTTTAAGAACCTCAAGGCCGCCATGCCACTGCACTTGCCAATGGCCTCTTCAACTTCACTCCCATTTGTGACACTCCACAAGCTCAGAGCCTTGGTTGGATATGTCAACAGCATGGAGAAGGAAAACGACCCTATTCTCATCAAGACCACTGTGATTGAAAAGCTCACAGACTTGCACAATCTTGATAACATCACCCATACTCGTATCTTCGACGCGATTGTCAGTGACATCTACGATGACTTCATGAAAATGATAATCCTGGACGAGAAGCGGATCATGGAGGAGAAGGCCAGCACCTGGTCCCAGACCGTTGCCAGCCAGCTCTTGCTACTTGGACTCGGTGTCCTTGCATAACGAATTTTTGCATTAATGTACATAGCATCTATAACTTAACTCATTTCACGTTTCTTTAGTGGCGCCAGTAATTTAGTGTTTCGGTCACCCATAATGTCCTTTTCAAGATCCTCCTTCAAAGGTTTGGAGCCTATTCCAAGCACCGCACCTTTCTGTCTATGGCTGAGGGATTTGTCTTCCTTGTGGGCATCACTACCATCCCAACCCATACCTCGTAGAAGTGCTGCACCAAATAGATCGACTGGGACCAGCTCGTAGTCTGCCAGACTTTCATTGTCTTCATTTCCAGTGATGATCATGGAAGAGTCATTGTCGAATGACTCCCCTTTCAAAAGGCTCAGTCTTGCTTCATCTTCGGAAGCAGGTTTCGGATCAGTAGTCCTTTCAGTCTTTCGTAGAAGGCCCCTTGAAAGTCTTTGAGGTTTTATAACAAGCGGTTTCTTTTCGTTGACAGCAGAGCCGCCTGCCATGGCACCTTTCTTCAGGAACGAGTCTATGGATGTTTTGCCTTTATCCTCTTTTTCTTCATTGTCACCGAGAACATTCTTTTGTAGTGTCTCGAGATTTGTCTTTTTGAAAGGTCTACCTCCAACCTTTCCCGGCTTTTGGACCTTGCCCTTGAGATTTAGCAGAAACCCAGCCATAAAGAATTCTGGTTGATGTTACGTCAATGCAGGTCAGATGAGATAAGACTTCAAGAGAGGGAGGATACAGCTCGTTCAAGTAGGGCGTATTTGTCTTATGATACTGGAAGTGAATTCGAATTTCCTCTAAAGAAGCTGACCCAACAGAAGAAATAATAGTCATGAAAAAATGGATGCGACTTGAACCTTCCACCGTGAAGCTCACCATGACGCACAGAAATCGATCGGAAGAAACATGACTTGGGGACTTCGCAAGAAAGTCTCTAAAAAGTGATCAATTAAGGTAACTCTAAGCTTCTGTATTTAGCTTAAGCCATATTTTATTGCTCCTCCGTCGCTACACTAGGCCTCATCACAGTTTGCAGCCAATTCGCATGGTCATTTCCGGAAATAAGCACAGCCCTTTCAAATGGGAGTGTTTCATAAAAACTTTTAGTTTGCAATAGAAATCATGAAGTCTCGAAATACATAAAATTCTCTAAAATGTGAACGGTGTATTAGGGCTTGCTGCTCTGTGGAGTACGCTCATACGCGGTTGGTGATATTTCGCGTTTAGATATTTACTACTACTACCAGCGATGATGCTGGGCCTGGAACAATATCTACAGCATCGTCCGGACCCTTTTAGCTCTCGAAATACATACGATGACTCAGACTCTGGTTATGATGATACTGCAGTCAGCAGCGGGTTGCTTTCCGAGGATATCACAGATGTGGACGAGAAACCCGATATCGATATCAGGAAACACGAGTCGGAAGGCAAGAACAAGCCACTAAGCCTTCTACATCTTCTATCAGGGAAGCAGAACAGCAAGAAGAAGCCACAGAAAAAGGATACGAAACCTGAGAAAAAGGAGGGCACTGATGAACTCACTGACCTTCCCTCAAGTAAGCTGGAATCAGAGGTATCGTTCCCAAAACCGGAATCACTTGAGCAGCTCGAACAGAAGATGTACGATTCAAAGAAATCCATGTCAGCAATGGATCTTCTACGAGCCCGCAAGAAGGAGAAAAACGAAAGCCTCATAAACCCAGAAGAACATGTGGAGATTGTGTCAGAAAACGATTCCATGGATGAACCCGTCGAGATTCTTGAAGAACGACCAGTCAATGCTGTTGCAGTACGGGACATCTTCTCCAATTTTGCACCCAAGAAGACGAAGGGCAAGGATGGAAAATGGAGGCTCAATGTCAAACTCAAAATCAACCCAGCAAAATTGGCAGAAATAAAGAAATTTGAGGATCCCTTCCGTACGCGAGGCAACGTTGGTAGTGGCACCAGTATACTCAATACCTTGATGAAGAAGAGACCATCAAAAATGGTAACGCTACGACTCCCCCTGGAGTTCTTACAGTCTATCCAAAAGTCGCTCAATCCACTTTATACCAAAAGTTCAGGTATTATGAGTGGAAAGAGTGCCAACAGCGTGTTTGCACAGATGATGCAGACCGCCAGCATATCAGCATACCCCAAACTCACTCCATTACAGAAGGCTAAAGAGCTAGATCCTCCAGATATAGATCGAGGAATCATGCATGTCTACGAAACAGACACATGCAACACTAGACAGCATTGCTTTGAACAGCTATCACCCAAGGCCACAAAGAACATACCCTTCCTTATAGATGGTTCATTTTTTGCAACTTATGACATCGACGAGTCTACAAAACGCAAAAAGTCACTAACTCACATCACAACCACGAATACAGAGGATATTTGTGACTTTGTTGGTGACCGGGCTCCCCTAGCATTCGAGGAGGAAACTCACATACGCATTTACAAAGATTTCATACAAAACCATTTCCCAGAGAGCAACAGGCTTTGGCCTGACAAGTTCTCCCCAAAAAGCACCGATCAATTACTTCTTGATCATCAGACCAAGTATACTTTACGCCGATGGATAGAGAATGCGTTTGCTATATTGAAGACGCAATCGACGAAGACCCCTCGCAATATAAAGATCAAGGAGCAGAAGCAACGGCGCCAAAAAATGCAAGACTTCATAGTTGATGACTTTGAAGAGGATTCAGAAGAAACCGAGGAAGATGTTTTTGTCCCGGTCCTCATTCTTGAAGGTCAATCTGGATCTGGGAAGTCAGCAGCAGTGTATGCAGCCATGAATTCACTCAATGGTTACGTTCATGAGATCAATTCAGGGCAGAATCGATCACGCAGAGAATTATATGGTCCCCTCAAGGAGTTTTGCACCACCAACATCATCAACAAGAATGACCAGGAGAAAAGCTTCCAACGCGGTTTAGTGTTTTTCGAGGACTGTGACGTTCTATTCGAGCAGGATAAGACCTTTTGGACCGCAGTTCAAGACGTGATTAATTTCTCAAAGCGACCATTAGTGATCTCCGTTCAAGATTCTACAGTAATTCCGAGGTCTATTTACGAACAGGCACATGAGCAAAATGCGATCTTGACTTTTGAAAACCATGACACTTCAGCATTTGAACAATATATCTGGCTTTGTTGCTTTTCCCAGGGCTTTGATCTTACACAAAATGCCCTATCTTGGGTGACAGCTCAAAGTGGTAAGCATGCCCATGACGTCCGGAAAGCACTTATGCAATGCCAATGGATTTGCTCCGCCGATGAGGACCTTAGCTCTGACGAAGTGCTCACGCTAGACGTTCTAGCTGATAAGCCTAAAAGTTCTCAGATTGACTCTCTCGAAAGTTTAGCTCTGATCTGCGACCTCCATTCTGAAGCTGATACAATTGAGCTGAACATGCGATCCAACAAACTTCAAGAGCACCATCCTAACGAGCTTCTTGACATATATACTGTGGACGATGGTCAGATGTTGAGGCCCTCCCCGGAGCCCGAAGAATGCAACATTGGTACCTACTTGAAGGAGTTGGTTCCCCACGAGGTCAAACTTCCAGAGGAGAAGTTGAAATTCAACGAAATCAGAGAAATTACGTTAACCTTCTTGGCTTCAAGAACAAGGAAACTACCAAAGGCAATCCAGGACTACCAGAGCTTTCGTACGTCCACCAGAAGTCGATCGAACGAGTCATCCTTTGATCTGCCGATATTCGATGTACAAGGGTTACCAGAAACTTCAATATGTTACAGTATGAACAAAACTCCATTCCTTGTGGAGCTTGCTGCATTTAGCAGAGACTGGGCAAGATTTCAAAACTCACTCTTTCATGTGGAGCGCCAAAGAAGACAAAACGGAGAAGACTTGAATCTTCAGCAATATCTTGGCTGGAGAAAATTCCAGAGCGGGACTCTTGACATTCTCAAAACCTTCTTTACTAGAAATGTCGAATTAGATCAATCTAGTTCTAGATTTTAGCATACCCCCACCGAATGAACGCACGGCCTTGTGTTTAAAGTCTGTAGATTGAAGACGACGCCAGGCCTCTTCTATGTGATATGGTTGTATGGGTTTGGCAAGCTCATCTGGCTTCTCAAACAAATATTTGCGCTTTCTTTTGTTGATCTCTTTGTTGATAGCGCCTGCTTTCAGGATTGACTGTTGTATGAGCTTTTCTTCAGCGGTTTTTATGGACATGGCAACCTCTGTGAGTGAGCATACAATCTCAAAGGTCAAGAAACCGAGAATATCAATAACATCGTCGTTGGGTCTCGACTCACAGATCTGAGTTATCTGAGCCCATTCTCTGAACTTCTTCGTCTTTCTGAATGTGAAGGAAGCTTGACGACACTCGGACCAGTGCACGTACTCTTCCTTGGTCATGTTTTTGGTACGATCGTCTGCCATCTTCAATCTTTTGAGCGAGGCCATTGTAGCAGCCTTCTCCTCGTCGTCAACTTCCTCGGCCTCCTCGGCGGTTTCAAGATGCTGCTCACTGAACATAAACTGCACTTCCCATGGCAATCTGATCTTGGATTTCTTATAACGAGTGATCATCTTTGATTGGTCATTTGCTCCAGGAGCAGCTCCAGCAGAAGGCCCCGTTGCATCACCCTCTATAAGTCCTTCAGCACCTCCACCTTCTTGATCTTTAGTGTTTTTTCTGACGTCCTTCCACGAGAGGTATGTGATAAGACGATTGACCTTGGCTTTGTCATGTCGTATGAGGAAAATGACATCTTCCGATGTTATAGAACGAGTTCCTCGACTAGCCGCTGTTTTTGTAGCCTGGAGTAGAATCTCGATAACCTGGCCACGAACAATGTCTTCAATGAGAGATGTCGTCTCAACAGGCAGGTCATTGACCTCACCAGAGACAAACATCATCTGCTGGACCTCCACTCTGTACCTGTACTTGTCTGAGTTGGACATGGTGAGTAGTTGATAGGTAGTTTATGTTCACTGATATCGCGCACCTTAGATCTGGTACTTGGTCCACACTAAGGGCAATATGATGGACATGATTTTATAACATTACAAAGGATGAATTTGAAGTAGAAGGAAATTTTTGAAGTCGATTATGTCAATCTTTTCGTTTGTTCAGATGATTTAGAGTTATTGTGTACTGTCTGTTGGCTGCAAAAGTCATGTTGCATTGCCTTGTAGTCTTGCCTTGAAACACTTCGCTCAAACTGAATATGCAATTTGAAATTTTGAAGCGCTTAAGGTATTATGTCATGTATCTTTTGGATCGTTGTTATGTGTGAAAAGTAATTGGATTACAGAATGCAACTTGTCATCTGCTACATGCTAACTATTTCATTCGAGCTCTAAGCTCTTAAATGGTCTTTATTATTAAAAGACTAAGCCTATAGTTAAGGAGGAGAACAACTGGATTGTTTCATCATTCGGCGTCTGCTTTAGTTGCAACTAGTCACGCTACTCACCGACCTACCACAACAAAGCAAGACATACAATTCCGATTCTACTGCAATTTTTTAGCAAATAATTATCACCATGTTATTTCAAAGAATGAATTCACAAGTATTTCACCCCAGCACAGCATTCATTTCTCTATTGGAAAGTGCCCTAGTGCTTGTGGACCGGGTAACCGCAGCGCGAAGAGCATATATAAGCGGGAAAATTTCCATCTCATTTTCCTTC